AGAGAGTCCAGCGGAGGGCTACAAAGATGATTAGAGGGCTGGAGCACCTCTCCTATGAAGAAAGGCTGAGGGAGCTGGGCCTGTTGAGCCTGGAGAAGAGAAGATTGAGATGCAATCTCATAAATGTGTACAAGTATCTGAAGGGGGAGTGTCAAGAGGATGAGACCAGCCTCTTCTCAGTGGTGCCCAGCAACAGGACAAGAGGCAACAGGCAGAAACTGAACCACAGGAAGTTCCACCTGAACCTGAGAAAAAACTTCTTGACTGTGAGGGTGACTGAGCATTGGAGCAGGTTGCCCAGAGAGGTAGTGGTGTCTCCTTTGCTGGAGATATTCAAAACCCGTCTGGATGTGATCCTGGGCAATATGCTCTAGAGGTCCCTGCTTGAGCAGGGAGGTTGGACTAGATGATCTCCAGAGGTCCCTTCCAACCTAAACGATTCTGTGATTCTGTGAAGAAGGAGAGAGAGAGCCCAGAGTACTCTCTATTTTCTGTTGAGAATAGAGATCAATCACTTTCTGAAGTTTCTGAACGACAAACATATATATAGATAGAGAGATTGCACAGATGTTTTTGGGAAGGAGGTGGGGGTTTGAGTGTTGTGGAAGAAGTAGAAGGAGAAGCATTGTGTAATAGAACTGAGAAGCAGCTATTTTGTGTTGTATTCTATATGTTGATGGTGGTATTGTAGGTTGGAATTAAGTCAGTTCAAAAGAATGCTAACTTTCCTGATAATTCTGCAGTCTTTGAGGCTGGAGAGAGATATTGTAAAGGTTTGGTTGGTGGGAAAGCGCAGCTTAATTCAGTTCTCCTTGAAACTAGTTTTCCATGAACACTCATGAAAGTTGGATAAGCCCATCAAAGACAGTATGATGGTCCAGGCCTCTTTCTGACACACTCAGAAGCTGCTGGTATTTGGATTGTCTCCAGGGCAGACTGCTGGAAGCTCTGCAGATTTTCAAGGTGCTTGACATTTTCATCGTCCTTTTCCTTTTGTATATCTGCTAATGACTGTTACCTTTGAGGAGCAGTTGGAGCAGCAATTCTGCTAGGTTTTCCTTGTAGAAGTTATAGGATATGGTGA